TGTTGATGCCAACTTTTATTTCGCAAGCAGGATATTCTACACTAAACTGTTAGGAATTAACCACACTATCATTCACATTTCAAAATGTGACGTAACTCAAAGAATGAAAATGTAGATTTACTGTATGTTATTGTTGAGCGGATCTTAGCGTGATTGAAATGTTCATCAATTACCTTTCGTGGTGGACGGTTCAAGTTGCTCTGAGTGAAACCAATAGAGCAACATAATTAACCTTTTGAAAGTCCATAAAATAATTTAAATTCATAGATTAACTTAACCTTCTCCCGTCACTGAAGACAGATACTTAATATATATATAATTTTGTATCTTGTACAATATATAGTACATAATTATACGTACATTGCATTTTGCCAATGAAAAACAATTAAACGCGTACAAGAAGCAGTTGCTGTCGTGAATCTGTTGCGTCAGGATTGAAATTGTTCTCTACGACAACCATCCTTACCTTTGCATAAAAGACTATTTTGAATTTGTTTGAAGTACAGTTGGATCCAAATCCCAAAGAGTTTTTTTGCAGTGTAAGTTGTGTTTGCCTAAAAATAATACTGTTGCGTATCTGCTTGTTTCATAATTTCCGGTAAAAATTCTTTCCGAGAAACTTCAGCGATACAAGTCCCTTCTTGATTACAACTAGTTTATTCTTTCTCGATACAACTTTCTGTAATACACAGAATTTCACAGTCACTTTAAACTTAACAACCGTTATAACACACGCTATAAATCGCAGTGATTCACACACTTTACCTACTGTTCGCTTGACTCAATTATATATCTCTTCAATCTATCTATCTACGCAATTCTATCCTTTTTCGCTGGCTTATATACTAAAAAAGAGGGCGCCTGGAACAAACTAGAGTTGCCAGGAAAATTCATGACCCTTCGAGAAACTACAGCGCGCATGCTTCCAGCTTTGCGTGACTTCCGCTGTCCTAACAATACTTATGACAATAAATCACTTTTTAATCTAAAGAGACATATTAGTTACAAACATTCTCATAAACTAAAGAATTCTGAACTGTGCATCGAGAGAAGATTGGGGGTAAACAGGTCAAGCAAACGGTCATTTGAAGCAGCAAAGACAGGGGCTCATACTTCTGGTAAGAGAAAAACTGGGAAAATGAAACGGAACAACCAGCTTTTGGAGCCTTCATTGCTGTAGTGTCTGGAGCTTTAGCCAATGTAAGATATACACAGCGTGGTCACAAGTAAATAGACACC